CCTCAGACCCAGGAGTCCGGGCCCCCAGCCCCTCCTCCCTCAGACCCAGGGGTCTGGGCCCCAGCCCCTCCTCCCTCAGACCCAGGAGTCCAGACCCCCAGCCTCCCCTTCCCCCAGGACGGGAGTCTGGATTTCCAGCCTTGGCCTTCGCTTACCTGAAAGAGCCTGGTGAAGACATCAAACTCGAAGATGGACACGTGGCCACTGCAGGTGAGGTCGATGGTGGAGCGCAAGGCCAGGGCAGTGGCGCCTGACTCCACAGGGTGGCAGGTAGACAAGAGGGACTCAAACTCGGCCCAGGGCAGCACACACCTGGGTGGAGGGGGGTGGGGGGGATGCAGTTGAGGCCTTTGGGAGCCTAGGATGGGAAGACCTCTAGGAAGGAGGCAACAGGGGTGGGACTTTTAGGTCTGAGGGAGGAGGGGCCGGGCCAGGACCCCCGGGTCTGAGGGAGGAGGGACGGGGCCTGGACTCCTGGATCTGAGGTTGGAGGGGCTGGTGGCCTGGACCCCCCGGGTCTGAGGGCAGAAGGGCTGGGGACCTGGGCTCCCGGGTCTGAGGGAGGAGGGGCGGGGCCCGGACTCCCGGGTCTGAGGGAGGAGGGGTTGGGGGCCTGGACCCCGGATCTGACCAGGAGGAGCAGGGCCGGGACTCCCGGCTCCCCGGGCGGGGGCAGGAGGAGGCTCCGGGCGCTGAGGGCCCGGGGACGGGTGCGCACTCACCGGGCCCCGCAGCGCTCCCTCCAGAAGGCGTGGGCCGGCGCCTTGATGAGCTGGTACGTGTGTCCGCAGTACTTTCCCTGGGGGAAGAGCGCGCCCAGCTCCGCGTGCATGTGGCTGAAGATGAGGGCCAGCTTGGCCAGCTGTCGCCTGCGGGGAGGGACTCTGAGGACCTGGCTGGACTTGGGGCTCACAGTGACTCCCCCACCCTGTGGGGAATACCGATAGGGACAGGGCCCCAGACTCTCCCTAACGTCTCAGCGCAGGGTACAAGTCGATTCCAACCCTGCTTGTTGCAATCCTGACGCCTCTCCACTCAGAACCTCAGTTTCTTCATCTGTGAAGGAAGGAGGTGCTGCCCAATAGCCAGGTCGTCCTCCAGGAGACAAAGCCCAGCCTCGGCCTGTAGCCCAGGAGGGCTGGAGGAGAAGCCTTGCCTAGCGGGATGTGGGGACCCCTAGAGCTGAGGGCATCAAGGGTGGTCTGCAGGCAGCTCATGCTCAGAGCCTTCGTCTTGGTTTTTGCAGCGCTGGTGGCGGACCCCTGAACTTTCTCCTGCCGCCTGCCTCCCTGAGGTACCGGATGGGCGAGCAGCAGAGGGCAGCTCTGACACTTTGTGTGATTTTTGGCAAGTTCTTTTTTTTTCCCCCCTAAGTCTCAGTCTCCTTAGCTGTGAAATGGGCCTAAGTACCCGCTGCCTCATAGGGAGAGCGATGAGGATTCTTACACGCCTTACGAGCATGTAAAATGCCTAGCACATGGGCGTACATCAGCGCTCAGTGCATGTCAGTTATTATTACTGTTCTTATTATTTTATAGTAATAGCCTCCTTGGGCCAGGTCCCTTCGAGAGGGCCACCGCGGACAGCTTCTAAGCAGCCTCCCTCCATAGAGTCTAATCTGTAGCCACCATCCACACGTGATGGGCATCCAAACTGAGATGGGCAAATGTGAATACACACCAGCTGTCAGAAACTTGGTGCAAAAGAAAAAAAAAAGTAAACTATCTCATTAATCATTGCTTTATATGGATTACAAGTTGAGATGATATTTTGGATGTAGTGAGTTCAAGATGTTATTAAAACTCATTTCACCTTTTTTTTTTTTTTT